CTATACACTCTTCATTAAACTATTATTTTATTACTAGTTTTATTCAATCAAATTGGATCCAAAATTGGCTCTATACACTTGATTATTCTATTATTTTTATTACTAGTTTTATTCCCCCTTATTATTGTTGCTTTTTATCCAAACTAGCTTTATACACTCTTCATTATTACTATTAATTACTAGTTTTATTCAAAATTTTATGTCCAACACTCTGGCTCTATACTCTTCATTAAAATTTTATTACTATTTTATTCCATCTTATTATATTCTTTTTATCCCAAACACTCTGGCTCTATTCTTCATTATTACTATTATTTTATTACTAGTTTTATTCAATCTTATTATTGTTGCTTTTTATCCCAACACTCTGGCTCTATACAAACTTCATTATTACTATTATTTTATTACTAGTTTTATTCAATCTTATTATTGTTGCTTTTTATCCCAACACTCCTCTATACACTCTTCATTAAACTATTATTTTTTATTACTAGTTTTATTCAATCTTATTATTGTTGATCCCAACACTCTGGCTCTATACACTCTTCATTATTACTATTATTTTATTACTAGTTTTATTCAATCTTTTATTTTGCTTTTTATCCCCCTCTGGCTCTATATTCATTATTACTATTAACTAGTTTTATTCAATCTTATTATTGTTGCTTTTTTATCCCAAAAACTCTTCATTATTACTATTATTTTATTATAGTTTTATTCAATCTTATTATTGTTGCTTTTTTATCCCAACACTCTCTCTATACACTCTTCATTATTACTATTATTTTATTACTAGTTTTATTCAATCTTATTATTGTTGCTTTTTATCCCAAACTCTGGCTCTATACATTTTTCTTCATTTTTTTTTATTACTAGTTTTATTCAATCTTATTATTGTTGCTTTTATCCCAATTCTGGCTCTATTCTTCATTATTACTATTATTTTATTACTAGTTTTATTCAATCTTATTATTGTTGCTTTTTATCCCAGGACTCTGGCTCTATGTCCTCTTCATTATTACTATTATTTTATTACTAGTTTTATTCCATCTTATTATTGTTGCTTTTTATCCCAACACTCTGGTTCTATACACTCTTCATTATTACTATTATTTTATTACTAGTTTTATTCCATCTTATTATTGTTGCTTTTTTGTCCCAACACTCTGGCTCCCACTCTTCATTATTACTATTATTTTATTACTAGTTTTATTCCATCTTATTATTGTTGCTTTTTATCCCAACACTCTGGCTCTATACACTCTTCATTATTACTGTTATTTTATTACTAGTTTTTATTCAATCTTATTATTGTTGCTTTTTTTATCCCAACACTCTGGCTCTATACACTCTTCATTATTACTATTATTTTATTCTAGTTTTATTCCATCTTATTATTATTTTTGCTTTTTTATCCCAACACTCTGGCTCTATAATTCATTATTACTATTATTTTTTACTAGTTTTATTCCAAATCCCCCTCTGGCTCTATACACTCTTCATTATTACTATTATTTTATTACTAGTTTTATTCAATCTTATTATTGTTGCTTTTTTTATCCCAACACTCTGGCTCTATACACTCTTCATTATTACTATTATTTTATTACTAGTTTTATTCCATCTTATTATTGTTGCTTTTTTATCCCAACACTCTGGCTCTATACACTCTTCATTATTACTATTATTTTATTACTAGTTTTATTCCATCTTATTATTGTTGCTTTTTATCCCAACACTCTGGCTCTATACACTCTTCATTATTACTATTATTTTATTACTAGTTTTTATTCCATCTTATTATTGTTGCTTTTTATCCCAACACTCTGGCTCTATACACTCTTCATTATTACTATTATTTTATTACTAGTTTTATTCCATCTTATTATTGTTGCTTTTTATCCCAACACTCTGGCTCTATACACTCTTCATTATTACTATTATTTTATTACTAGTTTTATTCCATCTTATTATTGTTGCTTTTTATCCCAACACTCTGGCTCTATACACTCTTCATTATTACTATTATTTTATTACTAGTTTTATTCAATCTTATTATTGTTGCTTTTTATCCCAACACTCTGGCTCTATACACTCTTCATTATTACTATTATTTTATTACTAGTTTTATTCAATCTTATTATTGTTGCTTTTTATCCCAACACTCTGGCTCTATACACTCTTCATTATTACTATTATTTTATTACTAGTTTTATTCAATCTTATTATTGTTGCTTTTTATCCCAACACTCTGGCTCTATACACTCTTCATTATTACTATTATTTTATTACTAGTTTTATTCAATCTTATTATTGTTGCTTTTTATCCCAACACTCTGGCTCTATACACTCTTCATTATTACTATTATTTTATTACTAGTTTTATTCAATCTTATTATTGTTGCTTTTTATCCCAACACTCTGGCTCTATACACTCTTCATTATTACTATTATTTTATTACTAGTTTTATTCAATCTTATTATTGTTGCTTTTTATCCCAACACTCTGGCTCTATACACTCTTCATTATTACTATTATTTTATTACTAGTTTTATTCAATCTTATTATTGTTGCTTTTTATCCCAACACTCTGGCTCTATACACTCTTCATTATTACTATTTTTTATTACTAGTTTTATTCCATCTTATTATTGTTGCTTTTTATCCCAACACTCTGGCTCTATACACTCTTCATTATTACTATTATTTTTTATTACTAGTTTTATTCAATCTTATTATTGTTGCTTTTTATCCCAACACTCTGGCTCTATACACTCTTCATTATTACTATTATTTTATTACTAGTTTTATTCCATCTTATTATTGTTGCTTTTTATCCCAACACTCTGGCTCTATACACTCTTCATTATTACTATTATTTTATTGCTAGTTTTATTCCATCTTATTATTGTTGCTTTTTTATCCCAACACTCTGGCTCTATACACTCTTCATTATTACTATTATTTTATTACTAGTTTTATTCAATCTTATTATTGTTGCTTTTTATCCCAACACTCTGGCTCTATACACTCTTCATTATTACTATTATTTTATTACTAGTTTTATTCAATCTTATTATTGTTGCTTTTTATCCCAACACTCTGGCTCTATACACTCTTCATTATTACTATTATTTTATTACTAGTTTTATTCAATCTTATTATTGTTGCTTTTTATCCCAACACTCTGGCTCTATACACTCTTCATTATTACTATTATTTTATTACTAGTTTTATTCAATCTTATTATTGTTGCTTTTTATCCCAACACTCTGGCTCTATACACTCTTCATTATTACTATTATTTTATTACTAGTTTTATTCAATCTTATTATTGTTGCTTTTTTATCCCAACACTCTGGCTCTATACATTCTTCATTATTACTATTATTTTATTACTAGTTTTATTCAATCTTATTATTGTTAATTTTTTATCCCAACACTCTGGCTCTATACACTCTTCATTATTACTATTATTTTATTACTAGTTTTATTCAATCTTATTATTGTTGCTTTTTTATCCCAACACTCTGGCTCTATACACTCTTCATTATTACTATTATTTTATTACTAGTTTTATTCAATCTTATTATTGTTGTTTTTTATCCCAACACTCTGGCTCTATACACTCTTCATTATTACTATTATTTTATTACTAGTTTTATTCAATCTTATTATTGTTGATTTTTTTATCCCAACACTCTGGCTCTATACACTCTTCATTATTACTATTATTTTATTACTAGTTTTATTCCATCTTATTATTGTTGCTTTATTATCCCAACACTCTGGCTCTATACACTCTTCATTATTACTATTATTTTATTACTAGTTTTATTCAATCTTATTATTGTTGCTTTTTATCCCAACCTCTGGCTCTATACACTCTTCATTTATTACTGTTTATTTTTATTACTAGTTTTATTCAATCTTATTATTGTTTTTTTTTATCCCAACATCTGGCTCTATACACTCTTCATTATTACTATTATTTTATTACTAGTTTTATTCCAGATCTTATTATTGTTTATTTTGTCCCAACACTCTGGCTCTATACATTCTTCATTATTACTATTATTTTATTACTAGTTTTATTCCATCTTATTATTGTTGCTTTTTATTTAGATCTGGCTCTATAGGAGATAGATTATTAGATTATTTTATTACTAGTTTTATTCAATCTTATTATTGTTGCTTTTTATATTCTGGCTCTATTCTTCATTATTACTATTATTTTATTACTAGTTTTATTCAATCTTATTATTGTTGCTTTTATCCCAACACTCTGGCTCTATAGACTCTTCATTATTACTATTATTTTATTACTAGTTTTATTCAATCTTATTAATTGCTTTTTATCCCAATAGACAGCTCTATACACTCTTCATTATTACTATTATTTTATTACTAGTTTTATTATCTTATTATTGATTGATTTTTATCAACACTCTGGCTCTATACATATATAGATATATTACTATTATTTTATTACTGGTTTTATTCAATATTTATTATTATTTGCTTTTTAGAGAAAAGAGATCTGGCTCTATAGACTTCATTCATTATAGATTATTTTATTAGATAGTTTTATAGATAGATAGATTATTGTTGCTTTTATACTCTGGCTCTATACACTAGGAATTATTATATATTATTATTTTATTACTAGATTTTATTCAATAGATTATTATTGTTGAATATATTTTATCCCAATATCTGGCTCTATATCCTGAATATATATATTATTACTATTATTTTATTAGAGATAGTTTTTTTTCCATATTATTATTTAGATGCTTTAGATAAATAGATTTCCAAACTTACCCTTCTATACACATTCATTATTACTATTATTTTTGTTGGAAAAACAGATCAAATGTTGCTATATAACTCTGTTTTTTCCGTGGAAAATTTACAAGTCACATTGATACAAATTGTTGACATTAATTTTATTTGAAATTTTATTTTCATTTGACCCTTTTTAAAATTTTGTTTGCAGTTTGTGTAAAAAAGTGTCTTTCTTGGAGACAGACGAGGGTGCACCATTCATTCATTTATTTTGGTCCATCAGATTCCAAGGAATCACAGATAGTAAGTAATTATACATTTCTTTAAATTAGAAATACTAATTAAAATTTAACGGATTTGCTGTTTGAATTTACTGGTGAATCATAGTTCTTATGTCAGTGATCGCATGTCCTACGACTGTAAAATACCCATGAAAATTACCCTATTTCATCCTTAAGTATTTGAGCTTAACAACTTTAACAAATGTTAAAATAACAATTGTAGCTATAAATGCAAGTCACTATTTAAATAAGATTTACAATTGAAAAAAATTTGTAGAATGACAAGGTTTTATATTTGAGTCTCTTTCACTAGAAATTTCAACTCTTAATTTCTAAGTTAACTTTTGAATAAGTGTTATAATTGAGTCTATTAGGACTGAATCCTTGAGTTTAACGTATTTCTGATTGACCTTGTTAAATATTTGTATAATTGAGTCTTTAGGACTGAAATATTACAAGAATCATAAATATGAATTGAGGTTATTATTTAAAGAAAGGTGTGTATAAAAAAAAATAATTGAACTTGAGTTTATACGTATTTTGATTGAGGTTATAGAAATTAGAATTAGTGTTTTAATAATTGATGAATGCAGGTGAATCGCTTGAGTTTATACGTATTACAAATGAAAATATTCAAAATTGAAGCAGATTTTTAAATGAGTCTAGCAAGGAATAACTTGCTTGAATTTAAATTTGAGTTTGATTCTATACGTATTTTATTTGGGGTGTGCAAAAATTGGGTCTGTTAGTAGTGAATTTTTTTACTCCGTGGATCGATAGGTTACTGAATTAGTCTAGTTAATATCGAGCCTTGGTTATTAATTGATCGAATTTATATCGAAAATGTATATTAAATTTGTCGTTTTTATAATTCTTCTCTATGACTTGGTCAATTGATTGAAAACATAATTTTTAATCTAATAATTAAATAAGTTTCTTGACTATATCTGAATCTATAGAATAAATGAATTTCCCCGATTGAGTTAAATGAGTACTGATTAAGAACTTCAATAAAATCCACACGGAATAAAAATCTTAAATAGAATGCTGGTTATTCAAAATAAGCTGGGGTACAAAAGTAAAAATAAAATGAACATTCACAAAGCTGTATGAACAAATAGTTGATTATCTACTCTTCTTGAAAATTGTTATTTTCATCCTATCGAATTATTCATGCATATTGACTTAAAAAGCCACATTCAATGGGAGGCTTGAATAATCTGATGGTGAATATCTGGGTATTTCCATCAAACGTTTTCTGTTATAATGAATGGAATGGGTCTGCCCTGGTTTTTCCTTGAATCATGGAGTCAACAAAATCTGTAGGCACATGCAGCAAACAGTTTTTTACACAATTTCTTTTTTGATCAAAGGTTGATTTTTCTTTTTACAACAAATGAAAATATATAAAAATATTAACAAGTTTTCCATTTGACTGAACGAGACGTTAAATGAGATGAGTGAAAATCTTACCCCCCTTTTTTAAACCCTTTGAATACCAGATAGCACCTAGCGGATTTATCTTTTCTTCCGTCTCTCCTTGCAAACAGGAATGGTTCATTGTTTAACTTTATCACTTTGCTTGGAGGTGAAAAAAAAAAAAAAAATTAAGCATTTCAGAAGGGTTAAACTGTCTTTTAAAAAATAAACAGAATCGGAATATTTTCATTTATATATATATATATATATATATATATATATTGAACAATAAGAAAATAAAAAAAAATTAAAATCTTTAGACACATAGGGTTGTAGATTAATATTCTTTCATTTTTTTTATTATTATTCCATTTAGATTCCTCGACTAGTTTCGACTGAAATGGCCATCATCGAGAGGAGAAATATTTCTGCTTGCTGGTAGCACTAAACTACAGAAATGAATGTCTTTTGCTGGAGAAAATGAACTTTTGTCTGTAGTTTTCATTTGTTTTTTTATCTTTTTAACATGAATCTTTTAACATTCCTTGTGTTGGTCAAACAGTCTCTTTTAAGTTGTTACTTGAGATAAGAGCTGGATACATGTTATTCTGAATTATTGGAGTTTGGTTTTATTGGGGATGTGTGAGGGTTTAGTGTTTGTTGTGTTGTGTGTGTGTTATTTGGTTCTTTAGGGAGTGAGTGAGTATGATATGTGTAAGCGTGTGTATTGCTGTAGGTATGTGTTATCATTTGGCTCATTAGGGAGTGAGTGAATATGATGTGTGTATATTCGTATGGATGAGTGTATAAGTGTGAGGCCTCCACACCTCCGTAAGCATGTCTGTCTTGTGTGGGTGAGAAATGTGGGTACATTTTGATTTGTTGACTTATATATTGTTACTATCTATATATTGTTAAATTTATGATTTAGCCCGGCCGGGTATTTTGTTTTTAGACGTTGTATCCACTTATTTTCATGGGACTCTAAAATCTTTCTAATGTTATCTGCTCTGAACTTTTCTATTCTCTCAATTATAGTGAATTCGGCATGGGTTTTGAAATCATGTTTTTCCAGGTGGAAATGTTGTTCTACAGGTAATAATTTTCATGGGGAGTCGACTTAATTCGATTGCGATAATTATTAATTCTGTAGTGAAAGGGCCATTCAGATTTTCCTACATATTGTTTCTGGCATAGTGTGCATTCTAAGAGGTAAATTATGTTATGACTTCTACAGTTAGAATCGTGGTAGATTTTGAAAGTAGATTTAGTGATTGAGCTAGTGAATGAATTCGTGTTTTTAATATGGTTGCAACATAAACTTCTTTTGTTGTTACATGGTTGGGAAAATCCTGTTGTTTTTGTTTTTAGTTCATTACGGATTACCTTGTCCCCTGAAATGTGGTTACTACCTATGATTTCTTTTAGGTTCTATGATATGCAAGAAGGCCGGGTTCCTTAAGCAGTTTTTTAGGTCTGGTTTGAGATGTAGTATTTCCCAGCGACGTTTGATTATTTGGGATAGTGGAGGCAGAGTGGGATTGAAAGTGGTTACTAGAGGGATGCGGCTAGATTTATTTTTAATCTTGTACATTAGGGAGTTTTCTCTAGGTGTGGAAATTGTTTTATTTATTTGTTCTCTGATTAGGTGTTGTTTATAGCCACGTGTTGTGAATTGATGCTCCAAATTTTCAATGTGTTTATTTAATTCTTCATTGTTGGAACATATCCTTCTGAGTCTAAGTGCTTGTGAATAGGGAAGGTTCTCTTTGAGGTGTTTAGGGTGGGAAGACTTAAAGTGTAGATAGTTGTAGATATATATATATATATATATATATATATACTCATGTAACACAATCACTACAATCTTGACTTGTTCAAGTCTATGGTTAACCATTATCTTTTCCATATAACCTTATGAAGTTCACTTCTTAATTTTCTTATGCTCATACAACACCACATGGTGACCTTTTACCTTCAGTAACTCTCAGGTTTTTAATTGGGTGAACATTAGTATAAGAAAAAAAATTAACATTTAAATACAGCTGTACTTTTTTACTACAGTAAATGGATGTGTAGTTTGGTCAATGGTATAGCCAGGGCTTCATACACTAATTTTATATTGCATGTATGATGCAACCCTCTTAAAATTAGCTTCAAAATTAAGTCTTCAGAAGTTGCATGATATGTGAGTGTATATGGTAAGAATAAGCAGTTAAAAGTTTATTATAAATAACCAAAGCCACTATTATATGTAATGTAAAATTTGTTAAACCAGGTTTCTCCAAAACTTGCTTCAAGTGTATATCATAATTGGCAAAAGGAGAGGCATGCAACCAAAACAAGGGTGTGGCATAAATAGTCAAGTCTTGATCTAATAGCTTTTGTCATTGGAAGTCTGTAAGAAGAATACCAATGTTCCTCCATGTTCTGTTCTCAGCTCTACCCTCAGCTCTACCCTCTTTCTGCTTTATATTAGGGCAGGTTGGTTTTTTAATTTTTTTTTTTTTTTTTTAGAAAATCAACATTGCACTCAGTGTGAAAGCTGGAGTTTGATGTGATAAGTACTGACACCAAAACTTAGATTCATAACTTTTACCAATCTTTGAGTATTTAGTTTAAAAGATTATTTGAAAAAAAAAATGTACAGAAATACCTACTTTCTGCAGGTTTTTGCTTACAAACTGACTTCAAAATTTTAATATTTGAAGAATAAATCCAAATAAAGTTGATATCTTTTGTATTAGATGCATTGAATGGAAAATATATTCAATGTAGAATTCTAATTATGAAACATCACATGCAAAATATGAAATTTTTTTACTGTATTCAATAAGTAAAAAGTGCATGAAAGAATTGTAAAAGATTACAAAAAGAAATAAGTTTTGTTAGATTATTTGTTAGCTTCTAATTAATAAAACCCAAAACTAGATTAAAGTGTATGTCACACCATAACACTGGGTACAAATTATAAGACTAAATATTTAAAATTTGCATTGTTACATCATAATATAGCTAAACTGTTCAGTATATGAAGGTCTTATTTGATGGCACAATGATTTAGTAATAATGTGCTTGCACCTTACATCTTGTGGACATACAATTTGTAAAGCTGTAGTAAATTTTAAATTTTATAGGGGTTGTGCTGTAAGCTTTTCACTAATAACTGGAATGAAATTCCAATGCTACAGCTTTTAACCCAAAGTAAATCATTTAAGTTTGTCTCCTCAAAAAATGGTAACGATATTTTGTGTCCTTATTTATTATGTGAAACCCCAACTTTCAAACTGAGTGCAATAAGCCGTTTCTGAAATGGAGCTGCTCTAATGGAGAGGAAATGTCCAATTTTTCCTTCCTCGTTTTGATTGAGTACACTAGCATCTCTGAGTTCTTGTGAAAGTCAGATCAGGCTGAATATATTACATCATAATATAGCTAAATTGTTCAGTATAATTTCCCTTTGAAATAAATAAAGGTCTTATTTAATGGCATAATGGTTTAAGTAATAATGTGTTTGTGCCTTGCATTTTGTCCATATACAATTTGTAAAGCTTCAGTAAATTATAAATTTTATAAGGCTTTTACTGATCACCAGAATGAAAA